TATAAAAAGGGGGTTTCACATCATGATTGACAACTGAGCCCTGCTTGCGATTGAGTCAGATGGACGTAGGAACGAGACTTTGATACTATGGCGCCAACCCCGATCATTATTGTGCAGACTCTGGCTCCAAATGGCATTTATTCATTCATTTATTTTTGTACAGAGGGAGGAAGTGGAGATGCAATGCCCATCTTTTTCTCTCTTTTTCTGCTATCTCTATGGTTTTGCCTTGCATGTGACTGGGTTTTAATGCTATTAGGAGCTCAATCCTTTAATGCACATGTGAACAGGCTGACAATCTTACTGTGCTACAGGGCTTAAAAAGAAAACTTACTTAAAATACTGACTAAAATCCAGTTGTTCTAGAAAATGACAAAATACAAACCTTTAGTTGATATTCACTAGTTATTGTTAAAACTAAATCCCCTGCTCACAAAGGAGACTGCACAGATAAACACACGTTGATCATTCAGTCTGAAATAATACAAAAATTAAACTTATAACTAACCAACTAGCTTATTGTTGAGACAATACACATTTTTCAAGCAGACATTTTAACCAGACAAGCTCAGGTGGAATAAACAAGATTAACAATGGAATTCAGTTCTGGTGTATGAAAGTGAGCCTTCATCAACGTTATTATTTCACCTTGTGCTATAGAGATAACAGGCTGCTGTGAAAAAGACCTATTGATTGAAAGCAGTGAGTGGTGAGGCCAAGACAAGTATACATGCTTGTCCTTCAGCAGGCTTACTTTATTCTTGGCCTTGACATCCACACCCTTCTTGATCAGTTCCTGCATTCTTTCTGTGTCGTTTCTCTTTGCAGCATCATGGAGCTCCTTCTCTGACCACAGCACTGTCAGCAGTGATAGACAAAGAGGGAAGTGTTCAAGTCTGTTCTGCATGCCAGCGAAAGGTAACAACAGTGGAATTTGGATTTGTATTCTATGTCTTAAACCTACATATTGTTGGCTGGAGTGTCAAGAATCACTGGTACATAGTTCAGTATAAATAAAATGTTTAATAAACAGGTGTAATAGTGTTTGATGTTTTTACATTAGTCCACATGATATAGAAAGCTGTTTGCTTCCTTATATTTATTCATTTCCTACAAAAATAGGCAGCTAGGGAGGGACCCAGTAGTTGGCCCCCAGCAAACAGCACCGAATACAGCATCCTATGCTGACGTAAGCCAGTTTGACCACAGGAAATACATTACTGAGGTAGGGCAGCTAACATTACCATTAGTGGAAGTTAGCTACTCTCAGCAACATGTCCATCAGTATCTCTGTAAATCACTTCGCTACCACTGTACCACACACAAACTAGTCTCCATTTTGTCTCGGAGGCTGTGTTCACTGGCCAATGGCTAATGAGCATGCTAACCGCAGCCACAGCAGCAGTTAGCACAGCTGGAGATCACAGGGAAAAAAAGACAATATTTTCTCCATCAAATATAATCCAGTTTGACCCAAATCACTAATAAAGCTGTGTTTTTGTATCAGTGAGCCAATAAGCCATGCTATTACTAGCTAGCTAACTAATGAATCTCTGCTCTGTGTTGCTAAAGGTTAAACATTGATTGACAGGTGGATGTTGTGATATTATTGGTTGAAATTGCTGGTTCACACTTACATAAGCATTTGTCACATTGTGTTTTACACAAAGAAAAAATGAATATGGATTTTGTGAGTGATATATGTGCACATATACCAATCATAAGTCAAAACATCGCTACATTTTTTACAAAACCCAGAAGTGGTACTAAATACAGCCTGCTCTTATTGTTGATCCGGATCACTAACAACAGCCGGCATTCCCATCACATCATATCACCAGTGTTGGGCAAATTACACAATAAATGTAATGTATTACTCATTACCCTTTTAAAAAGTAATATAATTGATTTACTTCCATGCCAACAGTTATTAGTTACACTACTTGTTATATTACTTTTCTGCTACTCCCCACAAGATTGGTAATTGTGTCCTTTCTCCCCAAAGTTCAGACTTACAGCGATTAAAATCCAGTTTTGTTTGGTAAAATATTTGTTAGTTGTTTCTATCTTCCAAACTAGTTTCCTCCATGATTACAAAAATTAATCCAAGGATGTGATTGACTAGTTGGATTTCAATTGAGTAGAGGGTGACAACAAAAGTAATATTGTAAATAATTTTCTGGAGGAGCAACTGTAATATTATTACTGAAATGTTTTAGTATTTAGTCACACTACTAGTTGCTGGGACAAGTAATATTACTGTAATATGATTACTAGTAATGAGAACACTGCACATTACATATTACACCACATTACATATATGACATATTGAACACAGACAATATCGTACACGTACATGTCACTGCATGCTCTTCATTAAAGGAATCTAATACTAGGAGCAGAGATGCGTTCATGTGCTCACTCTAGAACAGGCACATGGAAATCGTTGAAATCGTCCTTAATGTATCAACGACGTTTCCTGGTGATTCAATTCCTCCTGTGGGTGCTAATGAGCTCCACTTTAATCGGGGGACAAACTTCTTTAAAAATGTGGACACACTAAGTTACTTACAGCAATATTTCCCCAATTTTTATGAGGAACACATTTGGGCAGAAGGACAGTATTTTGTGTTTGAAGGTAAGAGGAAATGAATATTACGGTTAAATGATTAGAAGTAACCTCACCGTCCACCGTCCTACTGTGTCAGACCGGGCTGAAATACAGCGTCCACACCGTTTAGTTGAATACCGTTTTGTCCCTGTGGTCAACACGGACATCCTGCTGCAAACAGATGTCAGGTCTGTCCCCTGCAGCACACAGCTGGGTCATACTTACAGATATCATTCTCGGACACCAGGTCGTCCTCCATCTTTACCGCCGCTCTGCTGTCCCCGCTCTCATCGCAGTGCTGTGGAACGTTCCCCGGCACATCAAAGAGGCTACACGGCCGCTATGCTACACAGTTAGTCTGTTTTAACCCGTTGACAGCATAACGTTATATAAAGCTACACACAATAAAACGGAAAATAAGACTTCCGGTCAAGACCTTCAAAATAAAACTTTTGTCCCCTGTGCCCGCTCCGAGGAATATTTCAATTCAATTCAATT